GTTTTTGGGTTTTGGGTTTAGGGTTCAGGGTTTAGGGTTGGGCTTCTCTTTCTCTGTTTTTTTGTTGGAGTGGGGGTGGGGTGGATGGGGTTTAGGGTTTAGAGGGTTTAGAGGGTTTAGAGGGTTTAGAGGGTTTAGAGGGTTTAGAGAGTTTAGAGGGTTTAGAGGGTTTAGAGGGTTTAGAGGGTTTGGAGGGTTTGGAGGGTTTGGACGGTTTAGAGGGTTTAGAGGGTTTAGAGGGTTTAGATCGTTTTCAGGGTTTTCAGGGTATAGAGGGTTTAGGGGAGGTTCATGCGGGTTTTTTGGTCTTTGTGGAGGTTTTGGTTTTGAGGGTGCATGGGGCGTTGGAGGGCTTGAGTGTTGTGGAGCAGGTGGGTTGGGGGGCTTGGGGGGTTTGGGGGTTTGGGGGGTTTGGGGGGCTTGGGGGTTTGGGGGTTTGGGGGAGGGGGGGTTGGGGTTGTGGGATCATGTGGGTTGCGGCTTAGAGCTTTGGGGAGGTTGATAGGCTGGTAGGGGTGGGTATTAAGGCTGTAGATTTTTTCAGGTTGTTGACTTTTCTTTCTCCTGGGGAAGGGGGGGGGGTGAGGTTGACAGGTGAGTGAGAAAACGAAAAATCAGGGTTGCTGAGGCCACTAGCCTCTAGTTGCAGATGCTCAGGGAGACCCTAAACCCTAACCCTAAACCCTAAACCCTAAACCCTGGGACTCGCAAGACCCGGAGCCAGGACGATGCCCGGATCATCCAGCAAGCTTGCGAACGTCCGGAGGAGTTCGTGCTCAAACCTCAGCGCGACTTGGGCCATAACATCCTCCACCGCACCAACCTCATAGGAAAAACAAAGGGGGTTAGAAGGGTTTTAAGGGCTGATGAGGGTTTATCTATAGAGGATTATGATGGCTCTTCTGTCCCAAAATTGAGACGAGGGCGGTAGGATTATGAATTACGCCCTAGAAGGTTCTCTCTTCATGGCTTTCGCTGCCACTGTGACGGGTTTAGGGTTTAGGGTTTAGGTTTTAGGGTTTAGGGTTTAGGGTTTAGGGTTTAGGGTTTAGGGTTTAGGGTTTAGGGTTTAGGGTTTAGACCAGAAGGAGGCACTGAAAACCGAAGACTTCAGGTCCCCATGAAGAGGCCAAAGAGCCCTGGGAAGGTTCATCCCAATCCGCTAGCCCCCTAAACCCTAAACCCTAAACCCTAAACCCTAAACCCTAAACCCTAAACCCTAAACCCTAAACCCTAAACCCTAAACCCTAAACCCTAAACCCTAAACCCTAAACCTTACTAAACCCTAAACCCTAAACCTTACTAAACCCTAAACCCTAAACCCTAAACCTTACTAAACCCTAAACCTTACTAAACCCTAAACCCTACTAAACCCTAAACCCTAAACCCTAAACCCTAAACCCTAAACCCTAAACCCTAAACCCTAAACCCTAAACCCTAAACCCTAAACCTTACTAAACCCTAAACCTTACTAAACCCTAAACCTTACTAAACCCTAAACCTTCCTAAACCCTAAACCCTAAACCCTAAACCCTAAACCCTAAACCCTAAACCCTAAACCCTAAATCCTAAACCCTAAACCCTAAACCCAAGCCCATACATTCTTTTGGGTGGTTGCATGGTCCTTGAATATGGGGCACTTAACAGGGGGCCCCTTATATACACCAAACATACCCCTTAAATCCTAATATACCCCTTATATACCCCTAATATACCCCCAATATACCCCTGATATACCCCTAATATACCCCCAATATACCCCTTATATACCCCTAATATACCCTGTAAATCCCAAGGGCCCCTACTTCAGAACCCTGCAGAGGACCGTGGAACCTCCAAGCCCTGAACCCTAAACCCTAAACCCTGAACCCTAAACCCTAAACCCTAAACCCTAAACCCTAAACCCTAAACCCTAAACCCTAAACCCTAAACCCTAAACCCTAAACCCTAAACCCTAAACCCTAAACCCTAAACCCTAAACCCTAAACCTAAGCGAGGAGAGGGAGGCGGCCATAACTTCTACGGCTTGGTGCTCGGCTGCTACATCCTCTATAGCCCTTGTTAGGATTTTTTCTTTTTTGTTTTGTTTCTGTGGGTTTAGGGTTTAGGGTTTAGGGTTTAGGGTTTAGGGTTTAGGGTTTAGGGTTTAGGGTTTAGGGTTTAGGGTTTAGGGTTTAGGGTGGGAGTATCAAACCTGTCTTTTCTTTTTTGTACGGTTCTCAGAGGAGTATAGCATCAGGGCCGGTCAGGGCCTCTCACGCAAGCTGGTGTTCTGTGTCTCGTCTGGGAGACTCTGGTTTAGGATTTAGGATTTGGGGTTAGGGTTTGGGGTATAGGGTTTAGGGTTTAGGGTTTAGGGTTTAGACAGAACTGTCCAGGGCTTCGGCCGGCCAGGGACACATCAGAGCCTGGATGGCGGAGGGAAGTGCAAAAGTGCAGGTCTTGCATGACCATCAAACACCAGAGCCCTAAACCCTAAACCCTAAACCCCAAACCCTAAACCCTAAACTCGGCCTGCAAACTCTGATAGACCCAGGGGCGCCCCTGGCCTTGCAGACCCTCGCGTGCCCGTAGTGCGTCGGCCCAAGCATATAGGACCCAAAGGGTCCATGTACCTATATAGTATATAAGGGTTTAGGGTTTAGGGTTTAGGGTTTAGGGTTTAAGGCCCAAGCGCACACTGTATAGGTACATGGACCCTGAAGCATATAGGATCTGGAAGGGCGCGCTGTCGCGACACGCAAGGCCAGGTGGGGCCGGGCAAGCACCTGACCTTGAGGAGTTTGAGGGCCCTAAACCCTAAACCCTCAACCCTAAACCCTAAACCCTAAAACCTAAAACCCTAAACCAAAGGTACTTTGACATTCAGTGAGAACTATGGCGTCAACGGTGTGCTATGGTCATGTTCGGACAATTTCTTCTTGGCGAATGTTGGGGGCACGAAGTTTGCTTGGGGGGGATACGCTTGGAACTTAGGTGGTGGTTTCAGGACTTGTCCGTTCAGAAGTTTGGTAGCCAGTAGTCGTTGGGGGTACCTCATGAGTGAACGTATGCAGAATTCACCGTGTGTGCGTGTGTCCCAAAAGATGGACTTATTCGGACTGAAGGTATGGCAGTGGCGGCAATGACAGACTAGTGTTTGATGTCTAGGTTTTGTCACCGCACAATCGAAGAGGCATGCTTGATATTGCTTGATGCCACGGTAGAGGTTGGCACTTCCGAGACGGAAGAGTTGAAGAAAACCAGAAGCCCTAAACCGTAAACCCTAAACCCTAAACCCTAAACCCTAAACCCTAAATATACAAACCCTAAACCATGGAATCGGATCGGCCCAAGGCCTCTGTTGTCCCTGAACTTCCCACAATCTGGGAGAGGTGGCTTTTCTGGGTTGGGGCCCAACATCAGGGGGGCTGAGGCCCAGACGCATGATGCCAACTTCATTAAACTGCAAAATTCGCAAAGGTGTAGGGTTTTGGAGTTTAGGGGTTTGGGGTTCTCGGGTTCATTTAACTGCAATATTCGTGTAGGGTTTAGGGTTCTAGGGTTTGGGGTTTCGGGTTCTAGCTTAGGTTCTAGGGTTCTAGTTCTAGGGCTTTTGGGGGGGGGGTTTAGCGTTCAGGCTTTAGGATTTAGAGGGTGTAGGGGCACATCCCACAAAATTAGGCAGGACCAGCACGACAAGCTCTCTGCCAAGCAATGGCGGAGCCTGGGAGACTGGGGAATGCAGGGAATGCCATGGCTCTGAGTCCTCCTGAGACCTGCCCCGGTGAGATCTCAGAGAATGCTATAAGAGAGGCAGCGCGAGCTACAGGCAGCGAGCCAGAAACGTGCCGACTCTTGAATGATCTTACCGTGGCCGTCGAAGTTGATCTGGGGCGCGGCTGGCAGCCCCTCTACCCCAAGTCAAGTCTCGAAGTGAGAGACAATGACGTCTCAGTGCGATTACGAGATGATGCCGAAGTCTGCGGCTTTCGCCGCAGATCAACTCTAGGGTCCGAATTGCTGCTCTCAGATGGCTTCGGAGATTTTGGTCGCTTACTTCGCCTTCAGTTGAACTTTAAACTTTTTGGGGTTTCCTTCTTTCGTATTAATAATATTAAAGTTTAACCTTTTTTTCCCTGGGTTATTGGAGAAGTAAGGTAGTCAAGCTGCGGAGCACAGCCGAAAAGAAGCGCAGGCAGCTGCAGAGGAAAGGCGTCAGCGGGAACGACGGCGAGGAGAAGTCAACACCCAGTTGGAAAGAGCAAATCGCACAGCGCTCCGGAGACAAAGGGGGGTTCTCATCTGCGTCTGCACCTTCCTGTTGATCATCCTGGGTCTCATGATCCTGTGTGCCGTTCTCTCCTTCAATCTCGAGAACCAGCTCCAGGCTGCCGGCTTCGCGCTGGTGCTGATGGTGCTGCGCCTATATCCACCTTGGGAATTAGTTTTCATATATTTTTGATTATATTAAACCCAAGAGGATATTAAACAAATTCTTTTGTCATTAAGGTTCTAAGGGGAGTATAGAAAGACCCTAAACCATAAACCATAAACCCTTATAAAACCCAAGAGGATACTAAACAGATTATTTTTATTAAGGTTCTAAGGGGAGTAGAGGTGCAACTGCGGTGGATGCGGAGTCACTGGACTCTCCGCCGCTACAGGCCTCGGCGTCTTCGGCACTTCCGAGCTGCAGGACGTCTTGCTGCTAGACCCTTGTTCCCTTTTTGGGGGGTTTAGGGTTTAGGGTTTAGGGTTTAGGGTTTAGGGTTTAGGGTTTCGGGTTTGGGGTTTGGGGTTTAGGGTTTAGGGTTTAGAGGCTCCCTTATAAACCCCTTTCAAGCAAAAACAAGGGGGCACCCTTTAAATCATCCTTGGCTACTGGGCAACCTAGGCAGGTGGCCGTCCCAGAGCTCCACGGGGCGGAGGGCGGTGATGTTGAGGGCGACTGGAGATGTGTGACGTTCTGGGGCTGTTTCTGGTGCGTTCCCTTAGTCGGCCTAGGCTGCGTTGTAGCCATGACAGTGGGTAACAGCACGGATGACTATGGCTGGGCTATCGCCATCCTCTGGGGTGTGCTTGCCTGCATGATGTGCTGCACTGGGATACTCATCTGGAGTGACTCGAGCATGGAGACGAGACAGAGAACCTCCGATGCTTTCGTCGGTGGCGTCCTGTTCTCATTCATGTGGCCGCTGCTGCTTTTGAACAAGTGCGGTGCGCGATTTGCCAAGTTCTTTCTCCCCCCCAAGTCGGACGAAGTGGCCACCCACGAGCGCACCATCGTCTTCGAAGGCAAGGTGCTCCCAGGCCGGGCGACTGTCTGCTCATGGCCCGGGAAGTATCTATATCCCCCTTGGGAATTACTTTTTTTTTTTTTTTTTAAGTTCTTTGGATATTAAGAATAGTTTTGTTATGAAGGCTCTGAGGGGGAGTAGAGGTATGCGTCCGCCTGGGACGCGCTGGTGGCCGGCGCCCCCAAGGATGAACTGAGCGCTGCCGTGGTGTTTCTGCCCACCGGGTCGAAGGACTTCGGGCTCCATGACCCCATTCCTGCGAAGCAGGACTCTTGGTAGGTTTAGGGTTTAGGGTTTAGGGTTTAGGGCTAGGGTTTAGGGTTTAGGGGTTTAGGGTTTAGGGTTTAGGGTTTCGGGTTTAGGGTTTAGGGTTTTACCTTTTAGGGTTTAGGGTTTAGGGGTTGCGCCGTGGTACCCTTTTGCCCCTTTTTTATGGGGGGATCTGGGTTCCCTTCTCAAGTAACCAACCCCTTAAAAAGGGTACCCGTACATAATGGGATGGTTCCTGGGCTACCAAGGATCTACAGGGTGGGGCCCCCTTACTATACTAACTGTAGCTAAGGGACTTATAACCTAACTTAGGGTCCTTATAACCCAATTTAGGGCCCTTATAACTCTACTTATAACTCGGGGGCCCCACCCTGTACAGGACTTGCAGGGCAAGTGTTGGTGCACTCCGCTCTACGGCGAGCGGAAGCCGTGGGGCTGCAGATGGTGGTCCAAATGGATCGTGAACGTGGAGCTGGCCGTCGAACAGGGTGCCATCCTTGATGTGTATTACTTTAATGGCAAGAGAGGACAAGGCAAAGTGCAAGATTTCACCACAGCTGGAAGAGAACATCTCCGCCGCGAGGTGATATTCCGGCGCAAAGCCGACTTCCAGAAGTCCGACGAGTTCGGGAGTGCCCTGGCTGCTGGCCTCGAAAACCTGTCAAAGGAAGAAGGCCCAGACTCCTCCTCACCCTTCTCCCGCGAGCTGCACCGTCTCTTTCTGTCTTGGCTTCCTGAGAAAGACCGGCAGTTTCTGGAAGAGTCGGAAGGCTTAGGTCTCTCGCAAAAAGCGGAAGTGGCTTGGCTCGAAAGGAAGGGCTATCCGTACACAGAGAAGGAGGTCAGAGACTTGCTTAGCCAATAGATGAACTTGAAACTTTCTGGGTCTCCACATCTTGTGGGAAATAGGAAGTTGAAACTTTGTTGTACTTCCTGTGTACTTGGAGAAGCAAGCAGACCTTAACAGCTCATTTTCTTGCGCATCGCCCAAGGCGATAGGGTGAGCAGCCGAGCTAAACGAGTAATCCCCTCCCCCTAGTATTAAACCCCCCCTACCCCCTAATATTAAATACCCCCATTACAGTATGATTACAGTATATTGGGGTTTTTAGTATTAGGGGGTGGGGGGGGGTTTAATATTGGGGGGAGGGGAGTAGCAATCGTCAGCCTTTGCTTTGTGACTTCCGAGTTTGTGTCGCAGCTAGGCTATTACAGGGTGGGGCCCCCTAGTTATAAGTAGAGTTCTAAGGGCCCTAAATTGGGTTATAAGGACCCTAAGTTAGGTTATAAGTCCCTTAACTACAGTTAGTATAGTAAGAGGGCCCCACCCTGTAGGCTATTATGCAAGGAAGAGTCCAGCGTTGTTCTCAGGCTTCGTCGTTTCCAGTTTCCACTTTCCTGTGCTGAAGACAAACTCCGAGAAGTGTCAGATATTCGACCCTGGCCAAATGGAAACATGATGTCCACGCACCATGCCAGAACGACTTGGCGCTTGGACCAACTTCATATAAGCCTTATATCAGCCTTTCGCAGTGTACCCTGAGAATCCTGGCTGTCACGCAAGCAAATTGGCCCTGTCCTGCAAAAGAAGGACCGATCATGTCGACCCCCGGCGGACCCAACGAACCCTGTAGTTGGGGTCATATGCCCTATGCTATAGTCCTGCGAAGGTATATGAACCCTAAACCCCCCTAAACCCTAAACCCCAAACCCTAAACCCTAAACCCTGTTAGGGTTCATCTAATTCCCAAGGAAAGCCCCGGATTCCAGGAACTGAAGACTGACCGGGAGGGAGGGGGGGTGGGGGGGGGGGGCAAGTCTTCGTGTTTCGAGCCGACGCTTGGGGCTTAAGTAGAGGGGTTCATGAACCTGGGGGGCCAGACGACCCCCTAAATGAGTTTATGGTTCATCCACCTTCATAGGGCGTACAGTAGTATATATATATATATATATATGATCCCAATTTTAGGGTTCATGTGGTCCCAAAATCCCCCCCCTGCCTTGAACAGGCCGAGGAGCTCATGGCGCGCTGCGGAGTTTCACGAAATTCGCGTATTGTGAATGCCTTGAGAAGAACTGGTCGCTGATGCCTGTGGCGTCTGGCCAGAGCGCAATAAGAACCTATTGTAGCCAATCTATATCGGGTTTAGGTCTGCTCTACTTTGTTTGTTTATTCTTGTGCTTGGTTATGGCATGGCGGGTTCTTTTGTTGTATCCTAGAGGGTTCAGGGTTTAGGGTTTAGGGTTTAGGGTTTAGGGTTCAGGGTTTAGGGTCGTCCATGAAGAGCTGGCATGTAGGAGCACCGTACCTGCATGGCCGTGAAAAGCTGAGGCACAGCTGCAGGGGGCTTGGGACGTTTTTTGCTGATAAAGCAGATAGGTATTTCCCCAAATAGCGGGAACCCTTAATATACCCTCAAAAACAGTATAATCCTTATTCTAGGAACCCTAAACCCCCAAAAGGGTGCCCCCCATTTTTGGAAACCCCCATATGGGCCTCATGGGACCCCCTGCGTCCGTTTAGGCTAAACCTTAAACCGTAAACCCTAAACCCTAGACCCTAGACCCTAGACCCTAAACCCTAAACCCTAAACCCTAAACTCTAAACCTGACCCGAAGCCCTGAAGCCTGAAGACCACGAAGCTGCACCAAAAGGTCCCACCAAAGACCCTCCTTCCCCCAAAAAAGGGTAACCCCGCTTCGCAAGCCCCAAAGACCCTAAAATGCCCTTACCCTAGAAGTCTCCCTAAACCCTAAACCCTACCTAAACCCTAAACCCTAAACCCTAAACCCTAAACCCTAAACCCTAAACCCTCCAAGAACACTAAGAAGCCATGGGAAGCCCTGGGAAGCTCAAGGTGCAGATGTGGCCAAGAAGCTCAAGGCCCGGGCCCCGGTTCCCGTACAGTTCAGGCTGAGTTTGGGGTTTAGGGTTTAGGGTTAAAACCCTAAGCCCTTTAGAAGCCCTATGAAGGTTCCCGAACCCTACAAGTCCTACAAATCCTAGAAACTGCAAGGGAATCTCAAAAGGCTCTCAACAGCACGAAAGCTACAATGGCTTGAAGCCCCCGAAAGCCATGACAGCCGTAACAGCCCGGAAGGGCTTCGGTTTAAGGTTTAGGGTTTTAGGGTTTAGGGTTTAGGGTGGGGGTTCAGGGTTGAGGGTTCCACAAGTACAAAGGCTTTGTGTTTTTTGGGGGACGTTTGTATGGGCTGATTGGTTGAACTCGGACCTGTTTCAGGCATCAGCGGTTTACGACTGAGGGCCCGGACGTTCATGAGATTAGGATTCTGGGGGGCATTTAGGGTATGTCATGGTTTACGGTTTTGGGTGGAGGGTTTAAGATTTAGGGTTGAGGGCTTAGGGTTTAAGATTTAGGGTTTAGGGTTTAGGGTTTAAGATTTAGGGTTTAGGGTTTAGGGTTAAGGGTTTAGGGTTTAGGGTTGAGGGTTTAAGGTTTAGGGTTTAGGGAGACGTCGGGCCATTCGAACGCTGTGCAGGAGCTGACGCTGGAGGAGCGCAGCGCGTACATTCTGATGCAGCGGCGGCGCGGCATTCTTATAGTGGTCTAGGCCTGGAGCCTCTTGGTTTAGGGTTTAGGGTTTAGGGTTTAGAGTTTAGGGTTTAGGGTTCAGGGTTCAGGGTTGTGACCCCTGAACCTCCGAAACCTGTAAACCTTAGACTCTGTATTTTGAAGCCCCATCAGCCGTCAGTGAATCTCAAGAACTGAGCCCTGAGCCACCCACGAAAGTTGCGGGATCCCGAGGTTGAGGTGAGAGGCCGCAATTGAATAATTGAAGGCTTCGGAACAGCTCGGGCTCCCACGAAGAGAGAGTCGATTTCGCGTGCATTATTTGGGAGCTCATGGCTTAGGTTGGGTCTATCAGAGACCCTATGGTAGAGGAATTTTGGTGATGCCCACCTCTGGACATGCGAAATGACTCGACATCTCGACGCACCTCCAAATCGCAGAACTTTTACCTGCCGGGCGCGTGGGGTGTCAGGAATGGCCCTAAACCCTAAAACCTAAAACCCTAAACCCTAAACCTTATAAATCCCAAACCCTGTCACATCTCATAACCTAGTATCGTCTCTCCCTCAGGGTCCATGTAGCTGCATAGGGTATACTTGGGCCATTTAAGGGGTTCCTATATGGTAGCTTTAGGGCCCAAGTATATGCTATATTGGTACATGGACCCTTAGGGTCTTTGAACCCCCTTACTGAAAGAGCCTAGGTTGAAGGTCTCTTTTGAAAAACGTTACTTCCTCAGGCGCCTTGAGTTCAAGCGGAACAATAAGTGCTACGGCGTGAGTTCAACCGGAAAATATGTGCTACGCAGTCACCGCCCGTAGAAGCTCCTCCAAAACCAACCCCTAAACCCTAAACCCTAAACCCTAAACCCTAAACCCTAAACCCTAAACCCTAAACCCTAAATTCCGCAGCTGCCTCCCAAGGATACTTCCTGGCCTGCAGGCATCCGTCATGAGCTTCGGATGCACCCTGCGAAACCTCCCAAAAGAAGGGTTTAGGGTTTAGGGTTTAGGAAATTCCCCCCAAAGACCACCCGCAAGAACCTAAAAAGCTTTCTTCATATGAAACAAGGTTTGTATTGCTGTTATTGGTGACAGTATATAGGGTTCCATTTAGATCTTGGTGAGTGTATATACTTGGTGTCCTGTTGAGGATACAAGAAATATGAACTCTACTATCCCTAAACCCTAAACCCTAAACCCTAAACCCTAAACCCTTAACCCTTAACCCTTAACCCTAAACCCTAAACCCTAAACCCTATTCTATATCTGAAGCCTGCACAGGCCTATGGCTCAAGCTCCGAAACCCCCAAGCCTTCCTTAGAAGCATGTTGGGGGGAGCTGAACTTGGAGTTGAGATGACATCAAAGGTTTAGGGCAGTTCGGGGTTTAGGGTTTAGGGTTTAGGGTTTAGGGTTTAGGGTTTAGGGTTTAGGGTTTAGGGTTTAGGGGTACTGGCCCTGAAAGAAATCAGCCCGCATGCCCCTGGGCTTTTTGTCAGAGATTTTGTTGTGATCATGTGACGGTTTTGCTTTATTTACTGTATCTCTACTATATGAATGTCTTATACTTTGTGAATACACGGCTATAACTATACACAACCATCATATGAAGCAGGGTTTATATTTCTGTTTTTGGTGAGTGTATATAAGGTTCCTTTTTTATATTGGTGAGTGTATATACTGGGTGTCCTTTTGGGGGGTACAAGAAATAAAAACCCTACTTCATATCATTCTTTTTATGGGGCTCCCCGCAGTTCGGGTAGCGCTCTGCACGGAAAAAATCGCGCGACTCATGGCTACAGCTCCGAGACATAGACGAAGTTTTTTTGTTTAGGGTATAGGGGTTTCGGGTTGAGGGTTTAGGGTTTGGGGTTTGGGATTTGGTGTTTAGGATTTGGGGTTTAGGGCTTAGGGTTTGGGTTTTGCCGGATGAAAGGTGTCGAGCATTACTGGTACTTTTGATCAGTTTGTAGCAGGTGTTGTATAAAGGTTTTTCGCGGCTTGAACAACTTGTAAGATGAATGAAGCCTCTGGCCCTGAGCAGCCAAGGACGCGAGAGGGCAAAGTTCAGGCCCGAAACAGGGTTTAGGGTTTTGGGTGGTGGTGCTCTGGTCCCCCCACCCCAAACTAGCTCTCAAGTCGTTGTCAACTTCCGGTGTACCCTTTACCCTTTGTTTTTCGGGGGCTCTGGGTTCCTTTATATAGTAACCTTGTTAGTAGATGGGCTACCAAGTTGACATTGACGCGCTGTGCGTCCGCCACCATGGCTCTCTACTCATGCAACGTGTAGCAAGGGTGGCAACCCATCAAACAAGCGTGCAGGCTCCCCTTTGAGGGTTCCCAAGAATGACCCAATAGTAGTAGTAGGGTACTATTTGGGGGTTCTTCTTGTTGGATCCTCCCAGGGGTCTGGGAACCCGTCCGATGCCCTTATGGTGTAGGGCCGGAGCCTGGGCCATCAATAGGACATTTGACCAGCCTTTGTGAAGACCCCAGCGCCCCCGAAAGCCAAACAACCCTAACTCCCACATCCCTCAACACGGGCGCCCCGCTCATCCCTCACACAACTGGGGGGGATCTATAGAAGCTAGAACTCCAGTTTTAAAGTGCCCTGTAGCCCTATAACTTGTTCCTCAGAGCCCCCAAATGGGATTTACTTTATCTGTAAACCCCAAACCCTAAACTCCAAACCCTAACCCCTCACCCCTCACCCCTCACCCCTAAACCCTAAACCCTAAACCCTAAACCCTAAACCCTAAACCCTAAACCCTAAACCCTAAACCCTAAACCCTGAACCCTAAACCCTAAACCCTGAACCCTAAACCCTAAAGGTCATGAACTGCCTCTCGGAGTTCGGCTTCTACTCGGTGTACCTGGGAGATGGCAGGCGCGTTCCAAGCCAGCCCTTCAAGAAGCCCCTAAACCCTAAACCCTAAGTCCTAAACCCTAAACCCTAAACCCTAAACCCTAAACCCTAAACCTTAAACCTTAAACCTTAAGTCCTAAACCTAAATCCTAAACCCTAAATCCTAGTTCCTAAATCCTGAATCCCAAACCCAGAAAAACCCTAAACCCTAAACCCTAAACCCTAAGCCCTAAACCCTAAACCCTAAACCCTAAACCCTACCTGCCTGACAAAGCCCCAAACGGCGAATCAGCACTGGGGGAGGAGCACTCAGCTCTCCGAGCATGCGGGGCACCTGGTGCGCACCAAAGCGCAAGGCAGGAGCTCTATATAGGGCTTAAGGAGGTTAGGGTTTAAGGATTTAGGGAACTTATGGGGTTTTAGGAATTTTGTGTTGAGGGTTTATGGGCGTTTTGGGATTTTTGGTTGAGGGTTTAGGGGGGTTTTGGGTTTTAGGGTTCGGGGTCCAGGGGGCCCTGTAAGCCTAAATCCCAAAACGCTTGGAGCTGATGAGGGCCCAGAACGCTCCGGACCGCCCACGCCAAGAACCCCTAACCCCCCCCCCCCCCCCACACAAGAGCCTCGCACCCTCTTAAGACACGCCAGCCTGCAATCGTTGCAAGTTCCCTTAGTTCGGGGCGTCTGGCTATATTGTGTGCTGTGCTGTGATCGAATTGCCAGAGCTCAGGGCAGCTACTGCAGAATGTAGCATCTTAGGGGGGGTTATAGGGTGTATATATATATATATATATATAAGGGGTATATAAGGGGTCCCCTCTTAAGGGCCATACTGGATGGACCATGTAACCACCCTTAGAAAAGCGTGAGGCTTCCGAAGTGCCGTATCTGGGAGACCCATGCAGGTGTTGATGAGGGCGGCGTCGCGGCAGGATACGCGGTGCCTCGCATCATCCAGCCCAAGCCCGATAACTAACCCTAAACCCTAAACCCTAAACCCTAAACCCCCAGATTTCAAGAGCCGTATCCTGAGCTTCCAACTCGAGGTTCCCAAAACGCCATGGAACGTACTTCTGGGCCTAAACCCTACAGGGTGGGGCCCCCTTACTATACTAACTGTAGTTAAGGGACTTATAACCTAACTTAGGGTCCTTATAACCCAATTTAGGGCCCTTATAACTCTACTTATAACTAGGGGGCCCCACCCTGTATACCTGAACCGTGAACCCTGAGTTCCTTGTTCATGAGTGGGGGGGGGGGTTAGGATGTTCAGGGCTTTGTGGTCTTAAGGTTGTGTGGAGGTTTTCGGATGCTAAGGGCTTCAACAGGTTTTAGAGTTTAGGGTTGGGCTCCATGCGGTTTTTGGGAACTCTTCAGCTTGTCTCGCAACATCCCAAAACAGCAACGCCTGCTGAGCCTGCTGACGTTGCCACGGAGACGTTGCTTGAAACAGAAACCCCAAGCCCATGCGCTCCCTGAACCCAACCCTGAAGACCAACCCTAGATTGGGGTCACATACCCTATACTTCTTTAACCCCTATAAGGTTCATTTGGTCCTCAAGGAATAAAGAAGGGTCTGAGGCTTGGGGTACCTATAGACACACCCAACGCCAGCGGCTTGCATAAACTCTCGCCCAAGGTGATCAGCGGCCCATTCCTGACGTAGGTGCTTTGCCAGCTTGAGTCTCCCGAGCCTCGCAGCACTTCATCATAGGGCCGAAGTTTCCGGAAGAAGTGGGATCAGGCTTGCGTGAATATACATTATAGGTTGGGGTGTTCCCCCTTATACTAACAGCCCTTAACAGGGGTTCTAGTACCCCCTCACTATAATCCCTATCAAGGACTGTAAGTACAGTAGGGGACTTTCTGGTTGCTTTGGTTTAGGGTTTAGGGTTTAGGGTCCCTAATTGCCTTGAGTTGCAGCTGGAGGCAGCTGGGGGCTGAAGGCTCTCTCACCCTCGCGGCTTTCCGATGCCCGAAGCCACGAAGCCACGAAGTCGCGAAGGTGCTTCGATCGATTTGCCATATTGAGTTACAGGGTGGGGCCCCGTTACTATACTAACTGTAGTTAAGGGACTTATAACCTAACTTAGGGTCCTTATAACCCAATTTAGGGCCCTTATAACTCTACTTATAACTAGGGGGCCCCACCCTGTAAAGATTCAGATGAAGGCGGGACAAACAGAAAAAAGAGTGTGCGACGCCCGAGGCGAGGCCTGCTGCTGAGACGGGCCGGGAACTGTTCAGTCACAAGCCTTAGAACTCAAAACCCATGCAAACTCGACACAAACCGAAAGATCTCCACGTCAATTCCTTACATAAGCCTCGGTAGGCCCTTGGGAAATTCAATATTCTCCCTTATTGGGTTTACGAGGATCTTATCTAGGAATACTTGTTTCAAAGGGGTTTTAAGGGCCGTCCTAGAAATTTAACACCCTCAACGCCATATAACATCAACCCTATGTGAACCCGGGATGCTCAAACCCTGAGCCCCCGCAACTCCTGGAATCTGAGCCGGAAACTCTCAACCACAAGCCCGAAACCCTAAGCCCTAAACCCTAAACCCTAAACCCTAAACCCTGAACCCTAAATCAGTGCTGCATGCTAAGCCTGTAGCGTCAGGGTCGAAGATGGGTGGGGCGCTCCAGTTGCGCATGTTTTGGGTGGGTGGGTGGGTGGGTTGGGACGTTGCAGGCTCTGGAGTTTAGGGTTTGCCTCTGAGGGCCATGGAGATGTAGAGCAGGGTCTTGGGAACCCTGAACCCTAAAGCCCTCAACCCTAAACCCTAAAGCCCTAAACCCTAAACCCTAAACCCTAAACCCTAAACCCTAAGTACACGGTGCTGAACGTGTCATTGGTGGATTTCTGCTGGCTCCATCCTTCCGACTTGTTTGGCTCAGCCCTGAGCCCAGCACACCAGAGAGTTTCGGATTTAGGGTTTAGGGTTTAGGGTTTAGGGTTTAGGGTTTAGGGTTTAGGGTTTAGGGTTTAGGGTTTAGGGTTTAGCCAGGCAGCCATTCGCTTCGACATGTAGCGAGGAGAGGCCACAGCTGCCCTCTGAGCAGGAGGATCCTACTTGATGTTCCCTAGAAGCCCTAAACCCTAAACCCTAAACCCTAAACCCTAAACCCTAAACCCTAAACCCTAAACCCTAAACCCTAAACCCTAAACCCTAAACCCTAAACCCTAAACCTAACCCTAAACCCTAAACCCTAAACCCTAAACCCTAAACCCTAAACCCTAAACCCTAAACCCTAAACCCTAAACCCTAAACCCTAAACCCTAAACCCAGCCCCCTTTCATGTGCTTTTCTCGAAGCCATGTACCTCCGAACCTCTCCGGTACGCCCGGTCAGCCGTCAGCCCTCCTCTCGCCAACATGACGAGGCTCCCGAGTGTTTTCTGAGTGTCCAGGAAGAGCTCTGCACACTGGTGCCTTTTTCCTGGAGCCCAGTAGGGTTTAGGGTACTTTAGGGCATGTAGGGTGTTTAGGGTTTAGGGTTTTTAGGGTTTATGCATGCTATCCTTGCGGACATCCCAGGCTTTAGGGTTTTTAGGGTTTAGGGTTTCGGGATTGGGGGCTCCGCCCTCCTGGGAAGCTTTTTTTCGTGCTCCGCCCTCTTGGGAGTAACCCTAAACCCTGAACCCTAAACCCTAAACCCTAAACCCTAAACCCTAAATCAGTGCGAGGCCCCAAAGCTGGGCCCGCATCGCGGCTGGACGCTGGCAATCGCCGGCCTCCTCGCCGCCTGGCTGGTGGCCTCGCTCGCGGCATGCAAAACGACGCCGCCGCTGGGCCCGAACAAAAACTCGGTAGGCCCTTTGTGGGACACCCTAAACCCTAAACCCTAAACCCTAAAAACCGTTAGATTCTCCCCTATTTTTAAGAGGATCACACTCAGGGCGCGGCTTAAGGGGTGATGTCAGGCTGGATGCTGAGTGATTCTGAGGCTGCTGCCACTCCGCGCCGCGCCAGGGTGTCTGCTGGGCGTCTGGATGACCCTTCACTGCGACGTGGTCTCTTGGTAGCCCTGTGGTACCCCTTTTTCCCTTTTTTTTGGTTCAAGGTTCCTCTATAAAAAAGTAGTCAACCCAAAAAAGGGTTCAGGGTTCAGAGTTCAGGGTTTAGGGTTTAGGGTTTAGGGTTTAGGGTTTAGGGTTTAGGGTTTAGGGTTTAGGGCTACTATAGTACGGTTGCTGGGCTACTCAGGTCTTGAAGCACCTGGGCCGGATGCTCCTGGTCCTGGTTCTGCCAGTGTGGCTGTGGCTGGCCGTGCTCCCCTTCTTGGAGGTGCATGGTACACATGAGCCAATTATAACTGTACCTATAACTGTACTTATAACCACATCAGGGCACTTAAGGGGCTTATCAGTGGGTTATAAGTACCCCTAAACCCTAAACCCTAAACCCCTAAACCCCTAAAACATCGGTGAAAAAAAGAGCTCGTACCATGAACCTCCAAGTAGAGGCAGCCTGGTGGGCCCCGTGCCTTCATCTCCCTGGCGCCGCGGCCAGCGCCTATGCCATCCACCTCTCAGCCGGACAGGCTCGGGGGCTTAGGGTTTAGGGTTTTGGGTTTTGGGTTTTGGTTTTGGGTTTTGGGTTTTGGGCACCCTCTGCCCTCAGCACCCGTTAAAGGTTTAGCGTTTAGGGTTTTGGGTTTTGGGTACTTCAGACATGGGGGGTTTCCGGAGTTAGGGGTGCCTTACAGGGTTCCTTTTTATAAGAGAATCTTTTCGTACCCCCCCCCCCCCCCCCCAAATCTCAGCATGCTGGACCCCCACACTCGAATCTTCCCATACCCGGTTTCATACCCATGAGCGATGTGAGAAGCCTCTGTGGAGCACAGGCCCAAGGCAATGGCACGGATGAGGCACCAGTGTCGGCTTGGGCAAGCGCTGGCCTGGCGGCAACCTGGCTGGCGTTGCCATCCTCGCTGCCTCTCCGATGGCCGACAGTCGCCTTCGCACTGCTGGGGGGAGTCCTCAGCTTCTTCATCACGTTGAGGTCCGGCCACCCCACTGCCGACGTATTCCTTAACGTCAAGTTGGTCATCGGCCTGAGCTTCAGCTACACTCTGCCTGTACTTGCCGCCACTGGCTCTTCTGCCCTCTTTGTGGTGCTGGAGGTACTGGCCTGCTTTTGGACCCTATGTCTTCTGAATATCCCACCCACATCGGATGAGTCTAAGCAAGACTGGGCTGTGCTGGGCTTCTGGGTCGTCTTGGGCCATGGCCTTCCGGCGGCGGCCCTGTCCGCATCCAGCCAGGCGGCCTGGACCTGCGCGAACTGGGCCTGGATGTGCCAAGCTTGGCCCTGGCCTTTACTCTGTCTCCCTCTGCTACTGGGTGCTGCATACCTTCTGCAGGAGTTCGTTGCACCTCTCTTGCGTGCACGGGGGTGTCGGGCAGCCCCAACAACCCTGGGCGACGTGCTGGCCCGGCTGCTGCTGCTGCTGGCGCTGGCTGCCGCGCCCGTCATCCTCCAAGTCGACCTCGAAAGCGCTGCGCCCAAAATCGAGATGCCGGACATCAACCCGGCCGTGTACGTCAAGCTCAATCTGAGCGAGGCACAGAAAGTCAACATCACAAAGCACGCGCTGCAATGGCTGAGCAGGCCGCGCCCCATGTGGCCAACGGCCGAGGAGTTGCGGCACCTGCCAGCCACGAGGACGGACTACTGGGCCACCTTCATGCTCGCAAAGTTCTTGCTGGTGCTGGGCGCATCGGCGCTCCTTCTTAGAATCGGGCGCGCGCCCGCGCAGGCAGAGCCAGGTGCCCGGCACCACTACAGCCGCTTGCGGCAGGATGAGGAGCATGGGCAGGATGAGGAGAGAGAGGAGTCGGGCCGCACGCTCTCAGACCACAGCTTGGACTTGCTGGCGTGGGTGCTGGTGCCCACCTGGCTGGCAATCTGCACCAAGGTCTGCCTCTCTGCAGGACAGGGCGGGCAGCTCACTGGCGCAGGAATGGCCTGGGAGGGCTACGACCTGCTCCTGACAGCAGGCCTGGCTTTCTTTCTGTTGCAGGCGATAACCCTGCGCGCACAAAACTGCCGAAGATATGGCGCCGTCGATGTGGCGGTGGCCAGCCTGCGCCTCTGGCCTTTCCTGGGGGACGCGTTCGACTCTCTGAAGGACGCAATGCTTGCCTCGGTGGCCATATTTTCGGAGACCGGCTGGGTGCGGTGCGCAGGCAGGGGGTTCAGGAGGGCTTGCCGTAGGCTGCAGAAAACGACCTCACTGAGCTAGTATGACAGAAGTTCTTTGTGTGGGTCTGCAAAGTTCCTCTATGGTTGCATGTGGGGGCTTCCGAAATTAGAGGTACCTTATTGGGGTCCTTCTTATCAGGAACTCCCACGGATTAGGGGTCTATTATCGGGGTGCCCTATTTAAGGCCCCTATAAACCCTAAACCCTAAACCCCAAACCCTAAACCCTAAACCCCAAACCCTAAACCCTAAACCCGAAACCCTAAACCGCAGGCTACATCGCGCTGGCCTACCTCTGGGCGTTGCACATGCTCATCCTGCTGCCCCTGCGCGCCCAGCGGCTGGAGTTGGCCAGGGCATACTTTCCGCTCTTCTTCGCCAAGCCATCGAGACTTTGTCTTAGGGTTTAGGGTTTAGGGTTTAGGGTTTAGGGTTTAGGGTTTAGGGTTTAGGGTTTAGGGTTTAGGGTTTAGGGTTTAGGGTACTGTAACTCAATAGGGAACCGAAGTTTAAATTTTCAATGCTCTCCCAACCATGAACCAGGAAAGCACCAACCCATGCTGGCAGCAGAAGTGGCTGGGCAGACTTGCGGGAGAAGCTGCTACAGCTCATGTACAAGCAGACGAAGCCCTCCAAGCAGCGGGCGCTGCTGGCTGAGGACGTGCCCCAGGCAGGGTTTAGGGTTAGGGTTTAGGGTTTAGGGTTTAGGGTGTAGGGTTTAGGGTTTGGGGTTTGGGGTTAAGGGTTTAGGGTTTGGGGGGTTGGGGTTTAGGGTGTAGGGTTCAGGCGGTAGGGCCCAGGGGTTTAGGGTTTAGGCTTCAGGATTTAGGGTTTAGGCTTTATGGTGTAGGGTTTAGGGTTTGGGGTTTAGGGCGGACGTGCCCCAGGCACTTTTGGCCTCGGCGATATCCCTACAAGATGGGCCGCGGGCTTTCATGCTGGCGGTGAACCTCCTGCTGCCGGCGGCAAGGCTCCTGTCGGCCTGGCTCTACCACGACCTGGTGGCTTAGGGTTTAGGGTTTAGGGTTTAGGGTTTAGGGTTTAGGGATACTTGGAAGTGATTTTCGATTTTTGGGGCACGTTGCTTACTAAGAAACAGCTAAAATGATAATTTTTGCTAGGGTCCCAAGTTCAGTATAGGTGGCCTGGCAGGTGGGTGGCTGGCTTGTGCAGGAGGCGCGCGGAGGGGACCGAGGACTTTCTTCCGGCCTGGGTGCAGTATGGTACTCCCTTGGGGACCACACATGAACCTCATGATTGGGGTCATAAAGACCCTATGCTACTACAATCCCTATTCAGGTATATTGATCCTAAACTTATAAACCCTAAACCCTAAACCAACCCTTTTCGGGTTCATTTAGTCGCCACAGGTAGTTCAAAACCCGGCACTCTGACAAGTCATGCTCCACCTTGAGCCTAAAGTTCTAAACCCTTAGATTTCAGCTCACGGGGCTTTAAGGGCACCGGAAACGTCCCGAGACTATTGACAAACGGGCTAAACTAGGGCGCAAGGCTGTCCAGTAGAGTATGGTAAGCCCTCCACCCTAAACCCTCAAGTCCTAAACCTTAAACTCTAAACCCTAAACCCTGAACCCTAAACCTTAAACCCTAGACCTAAACGACCCTAAAACACAGCACCCAGCTCTGCCGAGGCGCTGTATGCCGCCGCTGCCGGGCACGTGGCCATCTGTGAGGAGCTCACGGATTCGCTCTGCCGCTTGCAGGCGTGGCGCCCGTCAAGCTGTTTTGCACCGTGTTTTTGTACCATCGACCGATGATTCGACGTGTATGTATATATATATATGTGTATATATATATACATAGACATATCTGTGTGTGTGAACAATGTAACGAAAGCAATGCACAGTATCCAGGCCCCGGAGCACCAGTTGCCAGGTTGTTTGTTGTTGGTTTTCCTTGTCAGCGTTTTGGCTTTTTAGCCCCAGAGGCCTGTGGTGGGGTGTTCGTGTTTTTGTTTTTTTGTTTCTGGGTGTTTCGTTTGGTTTTCGTTGCTTCGGCTTTTGAGCTTTTGGGCTTGGGCCCCCAGAAGTCGATGGTCGAATTTGGGAAAGTGTTTTTGCTGTTCCTTTTGTACCGATTATATACATACATATATATATATATAGGCATATGCTACCCCCATCCCGTTTTATGGTGTTTTTGATTTGTAATTCGCGCCATACAGTTTGCTGCTCTCGAGCCGGCCCTCTTTTTTTTAAATTTAGACATTGCAGAGGGCCAATAGCTTGCTAGATTTGCTTCCATACGGGCCTCCAGCAGAAGAAGCCTTCGCAAACACCAGATTTGCATGCAAAAAAGCGCTTCAGAAAATCTGGTGCCATCGAGCCGCCCCTTTCTTCTGTCTTCGAAATCCTACGTACATATCAACTTTTTATATCCTCCCAGGGGTCTTGGGGTTTAGCCCTAAACCCTGAATCCTAAACCCTAAACCCTCAACCCTTGCCCTTAACCCCAAACCCGAAACCCGAAACCCTAAACCCTAAACCCTAAACCCTAAACCCTAAACCCTAAACCCTAAACCCTAAACCCTAAACCCTGCACCGAGGGCACGCGCGACGACAGCCTCTGGGCGAACCTGGATGAGGAGCTGCGCCGAGAGGTGGACGCTGCCGTGGAGAAAGACGAGAGGCCCACTGCCTTTGGACTCAAAGGGTGGGTTGAGGGTTTAGGGTTTAGGGTTTAGAGTTTAGGGTTGAAGGTTGAGGGTTTAGGGTTTAGGGCTTAGGGCTTTAGGGTTTAGGGTTTAGGGTTTAGGCCCCATGTACCTTCATAGGGATTATCGTAGCATAGGGTATATATGACCCCAACTATGCGGTTCATGTGGGCCCCAAGGTGGGGGCCGTTTTGTTTCACGTCGCTCTTGCCGAGAAATGTCTGTGACTGATCCGCTGTACTTATCAACCACTTATAACTGTACTTATACCTCACTTATATGCCCCTTAAGTGCCCTAATATGATTGTAAGTACAGTTACTAGTAAGTACCTAAACCCTAAACCCTAAATCCCAAACCCCAAACCCTAAACCCTAAACCCCAAACCCTAAACCCTAAACCCTAAACAGTTTCAGTTGGTGAATATAAGTACCATGAACCTCCCCACATAGAGGTGTGCAACGGCCATCCTTCAGTGGGCGCGCCTGCAGACACTCAGCAGCCGAATGAGTGCACCTGACACGTTTTGGGTATAGAACTGCAAGTGTACACTTTTGGGGGGCTTAAACCCTAAACCCTAAACCCTAAACCCTAAACCCTAAACCCTAAACCCTAAACCCTAAACTTAGCAGCTAAGGACAAGGCTACAGCCGCCATGGAGCCCCGAGTCGACCGGGGTGTTGGACTTCAGTTTGCCTCCTTCGTCTTTGTCGCTGCTTCTGCGCCTTCCGCATGGCCTTCGCGCAGCACCGCGACTTCCATCTCATGAGCTGATGTAACGAAGAAGGGGGTTTAGGGTTTAGGGTAATTAGGGTTTAGGGTAGTTAGGGTTTAGGGCGTTTAGGGTCATTAGGGTTTAGGGTAATGGGTAGTGGGTAATTAGCGTTTAGGGTAATTGGGGTGTAGCGTTTAGGGTTTAGGGTTTAGGGTAATTAGGGTTTAGGGTTTAGGGTAAACCACTAGGGCCACGAGGGAGGGAGTTACTGCCAGTAACTTGCATGCAGCAAGAGCATGCCAAATCGCACTGACGAGGTCCATTTCGACCGCAACCTCACCCAACTCAAACTGGGTCTGTTCAACAATGAGCTCGGTGATGGCGGCTGCGCTGCCTTGGGCGGTGCACTGGCCACTGGGACATGATGTGAAACGGAAGTCTGCCAGTGAACCCCAATCCCAATAAACCCTAGACTCTACACGGTTTAGGGTTTAGGGTTTAGGCTAAGGCCAAGCTCCAGAAACTCACCCAGCTGAACGTGGATTTGGCGGAGAACAATGTCACTGATGGCGGCTGCGCTGTGTTGGTCAGTGAGCTGGTCTCCGGGACGCGATGAGAAGCGTCGAGTGCTGGATACTAGCTGGGCCGATATGTATTGTTAGGCCTACTGTTGGATAGAGGCAATGAGGGAATGAAGTACCCTGTATAATCCCTCAAAGGGTATGTATAGGGGGATAGAGGGTACCTCATTCCCTGATTCCCTACTAACCAACAGTAAGCTTCGGGGGGGCCCGGGAGCTTGCCAGTGTCCCTGAAGCGCCTTCCACAACTGCCAAGGCCAAGCTCCAGAACCTCACCCAGCTCGCCGTGGACTTGAGTTCGAACAAGATCTGCGACAGCGGCTGCGCTGCCTTGGGCAGTGAGCTGGCCCCTTGTCCGGGATGTGCAGCGTCGAGTGCTTGCCATTGCTATAGTGGTTAGGCCAATGCGCAATGTTAGGGGAGCCTGGAAGCTTGCCAGTGTCCCTGAAAGCCTTCTGCAGCTGCTGCCAAGGCCAAACTCCAGAACCTCACCCAGATCGATGTGTGGTTGAAAGAGAACCAAATCTGCGACAGAAGCTGCATTGTGTTGGGCAATGAGCTGGCCCCTGGGCCGTGATGAGAAGAGCCCAGGGCTTGCTTTTGCTCGGGTTCATAGGTACTGTTAGGGGGGGCCCGGAAGGTTGCTGGTGTCCCTGAAAAGTCTACCACAAATAAACTGTTTCCAAGGCCAAACTCCAGAACCTTACACAGCTGACGGTGGACTTGAGTTCTAACCAGATCTGCGACAGTGGCTGCGCTGCTTTGGGCAGTGAGCTGGCCCCTAGGCCATGATGAGAAGCGTGGAATGCTTGCTATGAGTCGCACTTTTAAACCGATGAGCCAAGTAAGAGGAGCACTGATGCTTGGATAATATCCCTGAAGAGCCTTCCACAACTGCTGCCAAGGCCAAACTCCAGAACCTTACCCAGCTCGCCGTGGACTTGAGTTCTAACAAGGTCTGCGACAGTGGCTGCGCTGCCTTGGGCAGTGAGCTAGTCCCTTGTCCGGGATGTGAAGTGTCGAGTCGAGGGCTTGCGATTGGTTTGTCCGACGTGCAATGCACATTGAGGCAGCCCGGAAGCTTGCCGCTGTCCTTGAAGCCTTCCACAACTGCTGCCAAGGCCAAACTCAAGAGCCTCACGCAGCTGGCTGTGAGCCTGTGGAAGAGCAAGATCTGCGATGGTGGCTGCGGTTCCTTGGGCAGTGAACTGGCTCCTGGTCCGTGATAAGAAGCGTCAAGTGCTTGCTACAGGTTGGGCCGATATGCAAGCTAGCCTGCTGCCAAGGCCAAGCTCAAGAACCTCACCCACCTCGATGTGTGGTTGACTGCGAACCAGATCTGCGACGGCGGCTGCGTTGCCTTGGGCAGTGAGCTGGCTCCTGGTCCGCGACGAGAGCAAGTGCTTGCTATTGCTTGGGCCGATTTGTATAATGTTCGGGGA